CGTTGTTAACCGGTGATTTTTCTTTTCGATATTCTATATGAATTATTAAATGAATAAATATTCTTTAATCTTTTTTCTTTTCATTTTTATATTTATTATGTTTTATAGTCATGGGTGTGTGTGTGTGTGTGAGGGGTGGGTGTGAGTGCAATCAATAAGATACACTCACGCACATACCCAAACCCACATATACACTCGACCACATCCACACTTAGTGAAGCGTAGTACGAAAAGTCATTCGCCCGGCCTCGTATGGTGTATGACGATCGTATTCCTGGAATTAGATAGTAATTGATTCTGGGCCGCAGCTGATTTCGTAATATTCAATATTTTAGTATAGAATGACTGCTCCTATATCCTGACGCTCACGCACTTCCATACTCTCCAGATGGATCCTTGAGATTCTTTGGGATCTATCGAAATCCACAGGATCCAGTTTTTCCACCTGAGTAAAAAAATTTTATCTTGGTAGAAAACTTCACTTTCTTACTCTTTGATTGTCTAAGATCTATAAAATCATGCACAAATATGAATGGAACTACTATATTATTCAGAAAATTAGTCATCCAGTGGAGATTTTTCTCATAAAAATGAGCTGTCTACAGTGAACATCACTCATCATCAATGAAAAATACATGAATTTTATTTTATTCAACAGAAAAATGAACAAAAGGACATTGATCAATGTCTTTTATGTTTTAATAACATAGATTTAATAAAGATAAACATTTTCTGTTAAAAAAAAGAAGCTTTATTATACTATAGAAAAGGAGAAAAAATAAATATCCTGAAAATGGTCGAATGGATTGTGAATGAAGTATACAAAACAAAACAAAAAGAAATTGAATACAATATAAAATCATATGTGGACAGGCGCCTAAAAAAGATAAAAGATGAGAAAAAAAAAGCTGCTGATGGTTCGATGATGAATATAATTCATATGAGCATATGCCAATGACGTACTTATATATATATGTAGATAAATAATATATAAATGATCGATGAAAGAAAATTTATTTTAAAAAGACATTACAATAACATGCTCATTAAATTCATCATCATTCATGTTTTGTTTTTTTTTTATTTCTTTGGTATTGTGTAGTCTTTAAGAAATGAATAATGTGAGGGTGTGGGCGTAGATCTGAATATCTGGTACACATGAAAATCATATCAATACCCACACTCACACTCACATCCTCAAAAGCAAAAAACAACTAATAAACTTAATTTCAAGAAAATTTTCTTTTATTTTAATAAAACCATTAGCTAGAATGAAAAATTATTATATTTATGTAATGAACAAAATCAAGTAAAGATTAATTATTGACTTTTAAATTCATGATGAGCAATTATGATTAGCAAATCATATTATAAAATCAAAGAATTTTTAAATAAAATAAAATAAATATCTAACTTTTAAAATACTCTCGAACTATTTTCATCATAGATTAATCGATTGTAACTAAAAAATCTTTAATCTCTCTTCTCTAGTAATATAAAATATAATGAATAAGAAATACATAAAAACATTTCTTATTCAAATAATATCAATCAAAATCAAGAGTTTTCTAAAAGCATATTGAAAGATGGATTAAAAACATCATTCAAAAAATGAGATACACAAATACGAATACAATAGGATCTTGGAGCTCGATGAAAAAGAATATATAAAAACATGAATTCACTCAAAAACTGTAGAAGTACTGAAATGATGAATACCAATTCCAGTAGTTCTCAGCATTAGGATCAGTGAATGTTTTCATGTCAATACATGTATCTTCGTCTCAGTAAGTGATAACATATCGTTGTAATCTGAGAACATTTTGTACTCATACTCATATGGTCCTTGTTGAACAGGATAAAAGTTCAAAACATGATTTATAATTATATCTAAATTATTCTTGTACCTTTTTTTCTCTATGTTAAACACCTACGTGCATATTGTTGATTTATTCTAATCTTTTATGATTGATGAATCTGGGAGAAAATCATGATTTTACTTTTCCTAACGTTATTAGAAATATTTTCATTTATTAAGTCAATGATAGATTCTAAATAATAAAAAGCACGTCTTGTTGTCTTCTCTTAAACTTCGCAATAAAGTCTTCATTCATTAAGTTTATGATGAATAATCATCAAATAGACAAATATTTTTCTCTTATTTTATATATCTCCAGTTTTGTTTTTCTTCATTTTGATTCTAAGCCAACTCAGGTAAGTGTTTGATATCAAAGGCTCTTACGTCTTCGTGATATGATTCTCTAGATATTACATTGCCTTTAAATCTAAAATACTGATATTTACTGTGACATATTCACATTTTAATTCTTAATAATGAGGATAGACAGCAGTTGCAATAACTGAGAGTGAAATCAGATTGAGTCTTATAATACTATCATCAAGGCCATTGATCATGTTCTATCTTCACATTGTCATGTCAGTCACCCATTACTTCGCCACTTCGTCGAGATTTTGGTGAGAACGAAAGCGAGGGATGTGGATATAGATGGGTCTGAGAATGAAAATATTGGTTTCACATTTGTGGGTCATGAATTAAGAAACTGTATGATAGGGGAGTGTAGGTGTTACTCGTTCATGTTCAATGCTCAGTTTAGTGGGAAGTGATAGATGAACCTCAATAAGTCCAGTGTATTAATGAGTTCATGTCGGAAATGAATTACCTCATAATTCAAAACTTTCATATGTTGTATATATGATATGTGTATATGTACATATATATTTATGTAATGACTATAATTTTTTAGAAAAGATTTTCATGACCTACTAAGGTTTAGTAGGGACTGATAGGAATACTAGGGACTACTATGACCGATAACACCGCTCTCACCCACATCCTCACCTCTACATCCACACTCACACCCACACCCAAAAATAGAAACATACGGTTTTATTAGATAAATCGTTTATATTCATAGTTGACTCAAAAAAAAATATTATATCAAAGATTTTCTTTCTTCTATTTAGTATCAGTAATTATAAAAGTGAACAAGTGACAACCAACGATCAAGGAAAAGGATAATTTACTGTGAATTAGGATCAATGGCAACAGAAATTGATATCATATCATCAAATATACAGTATGTTAATTGTATTAGTTGAAGTATATATATATATATCACAAATTATAAAAATGCTATAGGATTCCAGTTGATAGTAAAAAACGACGATTATGTATGATAATCAAAATTACTCTGCCCTTATTAATTATTGCAGTAATTGTGATTCCAACAACGATTATTTTAACACGAAAAACAGATACAACAACTGAGACTATGATGAATATGACTGTATCATTTATAACAACAACGTCAGTATCTTTGAGAACCTTATCATCAACTACAACAGTAACGACATCAATTACAAAACCATTTGGTGAGAAAGTTTTATATTGTTCTTTAGTATAAATTTTCTTTCTTTTCGTAATTTTATAGTATTACAAACATTTCAACGAACAAACGAAACCGTCTTTGCTATATGGAACACAATTGCACGTGGCGATAGTTCACCATCTTCACCTAACAAGACAATAATAGGTGCATATTATCCTGGTGAACCACCTGAAGCTGCATTAGATGGTAATTTAAGTTCAGAATATACCAACCATGGAGTTTGTCTAACAACTGGTTCACCAGAAAACGAATGCGGAATACAAACTGGTTTTTATATAACATTCAACAGTGAACCGTTCATTCTCGTGAAGTTTCGTATAGCTACAAACAAATATTCTGCATATCGAGATCCATACAATATTACAATTGAAGGTAGCAACAATAATGAATCGGATTTAATTTTTGGAAAAAGTTGGACTTTGATTTATAATGGTGATGCAGGTCTCGCAAAAGATCCAGAAAGACAAAAGTATGGTAATGAACAAACAATACCCAATGATCCATTGCCGTTTGCAAGCTATCGTATTCTCACCACTTCAAAAAGAGGAAAAGAGACTTGTGTCTCTTACTCAGAATTTGAGATGAGAGGACGATTTCCTGATTGATATGTTTGAAAAACATTTAACTGACTAACAGCGCATATTAATTATCAAAGAATGTCCCTTTTTTTCTGTTTGCTTATTTTCTGAATCGCTTTTTGAATGTAATTGTGTTCGTATTTAAATATCAAGTCAGGATGTACATGTGGTGTGGTGTGGTGTGGTTTGGAATCGAATGAATGTCCCTTTTTTCCTTACGCTATTCCTAAATCTTTTAATTATTATGAATAAAATAAAATGCAAATCAAATAATTTATTATAATAGATGAATTGACATTTATATACGAATATTTTTTCTCTTCATTTGCAAGCCTTTTCTTTCTTTTTCAGTCATTTTGATCTTCAAATCATCGATTTTAGTTCAATAAACAATCATCATGGCAATACGTTTCTCTTTTTTTGTTGGAAAAAGGAAGAAATTGATCAATAATAAACTTTTAGAAATGATAAACAGAATTCAATCACATCCATAGTCTCAAATATTCTTTAATTTAGTGGTAAATTCGAGATTTCACAACTGCTTTCAAGTCAAATTGACTTTCTGATAAAGCAGGAAATATTTATGTCGGTGGTGGTACTTTTCTATTACATTGAGTTCTTTGCCATCCATTTTTCCTACGTAGTTCTTTTTTTGTAATCATTTTTTATAAATCTAATCTATATAAATGATTTCGAATATAATTTCGTTGATGATATTCAAGAGATTCTTTTTTTTAATTTACATATACGGAAATAAATAATACATCTACTATTAAATTTCAAATCGCATATTTTATTTTTATCAACAATCATTTTAAATAATTGACAAACCAGTGAAACACAATATAAATCTGCTACGAATAGAAATCGAAATATTTGCAATATGACAATATCCCATAAAAAAGAAAGGATATGAGGGTGTGGGTGTGGGGAAATATCCTTTTGGAGTTTTTCATACCTCAATGGGGTCTATCTTATCCACGAAGTGCCAACTCAAAAGCTCAGAATCACCTGAAGTGCTTCCCTCGTGAGATGATGAATACCAAATGCAGTAATTGTCAGAATTACGTTGTGGGTGGGTGGGTGCCAGTGTCAGTGCCGCTGCAATAAATAATTTACACCCACACCCACACCATCAAGATTGTTTATTAAACCAATTGATAATACTCATGACGATCGAAATCGATTAACATCAAAAACACCAATAATAAATCGTTTGAAACATGCAAGTGATTCTGATCTACAAACTGAAGATATGTCTAGTAAATTAACTTCTTTTTTTCAAACTGATGTATAAACTTTATATATAATAAAAACAGTACGTTTGTCTTTTTATATATCGTTGTTAACCGGTGATTTTTCTTTTCGATATTCTATATGAATTATTCAATGAATAAATATTCTTTAATCTTTTTTCTTTTCATTTTTATATTTATTATGCTTCATAGTCATGGAGAATATCACTTAATAGAGATAAAACTGACAATTTTTCTGTCATGTGGTTTAGACAACTTTTATTGAGGGTAGGTGTGAGTGTGGGTATACATTGCTTTTTAATCCACACCTACGCCCTCAAGAATTAATGTAAAATCGGAATTCAATTATATTATTCTGTATGTTTTTTTCAGTTAGTGTAATTACAAATACCATAAGGTAAAGTATCAAAAGAAAATATTGATCGTTCCGTTTAGATATAAAAGATTGTTATCATGAAGTTTTAAACCAATATAAGGAAGAAAAAAAAGAACGTGGAGGCTAAGAAGAATAAGAAAAAAAAATGTTCTTCAATAAATCACATTCTACAAAAAATTTGAAAGAGCAGAATAGTGGCATTTAGCTTTTATATTGCTGTACATTATTATCCAGGTTTAGTGACATCTTCTCAAAACGTGGTACTCAGTCTTTTTTTTTCTCTTATTTTTCTATTTGTTAGTAGTGTCTTATTTTTTTGCGTTCTGTACGTTAGTATGTTGATTCTTTCCTTGTTTATGTACTCCGATAAATAATACAGACGTTTTTTTTCTCTAACAATGCCACAACGTATTTATTATAGCATGCACTTT